TCTGCTGCAAGCATGTAGGTCTAATTGCAGACATATTTCTTAGGCAAATTGTAGCAATGTTCATTGAAACTGGAAAAAACCTGCTCAGGCTCTGCACTGTGACTCAAGCTGAGCTGAAGAGGCTGTTGCTGTAAGTGGCTCCGAGTGATTTCCTGCACTGTCACAGAGCAGACAGTGCTTAACACATATAAACTGCTCCGTAATTCACAGACTTCTTCTAGCACAACTAGTGCAGGGTGGGAACAATGTTTTTGCTATCAGTTGGTGTACCAAGAAATTTGGAAAGAAAAGAACCTGTAGGTGACATATTCAGCAACTAATGAAAGTGTTTTAAGTAAATTTATTTAAACTTGAGATTTAAACTAAGAGATCCTTGGGTTTATTTTTCATCTGGGAACCAGAAGAATGTTTGGAGCTCATCTGGATATCAGAAGCCTTCTAATTTGTTTCCAAGAGGTGGGCTTGGAAGGGTATCATCTAAATGCTGTAAGCAAATGTGTGAGATAAGAGAAAAAATCCTGCCTGGAAATGTCTGCTCAATGAAGCAGATACAGAAGGTGATGCTAAAGGTATTACACAAAGCATGCTCTGAAAAATCACACAGCTGCACTATTGCCATTTTAAAGCTAAGTGGAATGCCTGGGTGTTCCCATCCCTAACTAGCTCCAGCTTTTTGATTATCTGCACCCCAGATGGTTTTCACAGAGCAAGTTTTTCATTTTTTACTCCAACTGTCCAGGCTAGGGCAGTATGTAGCAGGGGAGCTATTCATATTTTCTCTCCCCTACCTTTGTGTCACATTTCCTTCAGTTCCAGCTTCTCCACAGAGCTTGTAAGGTGTTATGTATCAAGTTCTTATTAACAGGGTGGTCTTCAAAAGCACCTCTCTGTTGAAGAGCTGTCATTAGAGTACTTTGATACCAGTCTTATTTGAAAAAGCACACGGTTTCATGCCTTAGCATACCTGTTGTGGAAGGAAAGGAAAGGCAAACAACCTTTATACCACCCTTGTCCACGTCACATTTGGCTACTGAGACTGCACTTGGTCAGGCAAGAGGGGACCAGAGAGCACAGAGGCGTCCTAGAGCCCAGACACTGAGGAGGCTGAAACAAAGGAAGAATTTTCCAAGCCAGCTGCTGCTGCTGACCAGAAGAGTGATATAAAACAGCCATTGTGCAAACAAGAATATGGGCTTTTGTTTTTCACTCCCATCTTTGAAAGCTATTGTAAAACAATGAAAGGATAAGGGTGGTTTTATTACCACAAGGCACAGAGGTTCATAAAAGCCAGTCTTCTCTCCCAGCTCACTGGAACAGCACACGCCAGCACTTCCTCCAGGAGCAGGAAACACTGCTCTAATCATAAGTGGATATTGCATTAGAACAATGTCATACCAATAAGACTTTTGCTGTGTCCTTCATATTCTGTATTCTGGCAGGACTTTTAAAGCTAAACAGATATCATTTTTACAGTCATGTTCTCCATGACATAAACATAATTTAATAACATTTTGAGTTCATGGAGAAAAAGACAAATTTTGCAAAAGAGCAGTGCAGTGGTAGAGTGCATCTACTTTTTCTCGTACTGTGATCCATGTTCTCTTGGTAACACTGAACAAAACTTAGAGCCCTTGAACCATACTAGACATACAAGGACAGGTCTGACTTTGAAATTATCGACAGCTTTTAAAATACTATAATTTGGCCTCATCAACAGAAGCTGGACGCTGGACAGTTTTAGTAGAATGTTCTTCCTCTTTCTATTATTTGGGAATTGTAGATCAGATGATAAATCCCAGATTTTTTGGTTTATTAGACTACACCTAGATATATCAATCATTTGCTGTAGACAAACATCCTGTGCTGAAAAGTTGTGTGCAGAAATTGCATTTTAAAATTGCAAATTTAATTTAGAATTGCAAATTTAAATGCAATTATATTTGCTTTGGAGCTCCACATTAGAAAAGGTAAGGTAACTACGTTAATGAACCATTTTCAGGAAGGATTCTGGGTGTGAAGCAGATGTACTATTGAGAGAAAAACTGTATAATGTTTATCATAACACTGAGACCAGACTCATGCACTTGATGATGATAAAAGGGAGCTCATGACACCTAAGGAAGAATACACTGGAAATTTGCCTG